TTGCTCATTCAGCAATGCCAATGTTGGCAAACTGGCGTAGCCTGTGGGCTGATTGAATCTATTCGCCCAGTGCATGCTGCTCCTCCTGCGGTTTTTCACAGTCAACCAGCCATCGTTAGCATCTGTAGGCAATTGAATCTGCTTAGACTCGGAATGTCGTTCCTCTTTTAAAGTGCTTCTTGAATTTGAGAGCTGTTCATTGCTGGCTTTTAGGGTGGAAGTGGAGCTGGCTATATCCTCCCTGGAACTGAGTCTTGAACTCATGGTAGTTCTTTTGGCAGTGCTTAAAATAGAACTAGGAGCAGTTTTTTTCGGCAAAGTTCTGACCCCAGTGGATGGATTTGTATTAGCAGTACTCCCATTTATTTCTAGCATGGTCCTGGATCTTGCTGACAGTCTGGAGGCCACATTGTTGGGTGGGCCATAGCACTCAGTTTTGCTGGAGGGTCGTGGTGGTTGCAATCCACTCCTTCCAGTCGTTTTGCTCGGAGGAAGAACTGTTTTGATGCGTCGCAATCCATTGACTGGTGGCGCGGGAGCTGTCTTTATCTGACTCGGCTTAGTGGCAGCTGTCTTATGAACTGTTATACCCCCAGTCGGCGGTACCACCTTCTTAACGGGGCGATTCAGCACACTGGAATACTTAAGGGGACTGTTCTGGACAGTATTGCCTGCTATGGGATTCAGGGGTTGTGGTTTTTTGAACAACTCCGCCACGGGCTTAACAAGAGTACTGGGTGGCGTGGGCTCTTTGTTGGCTTGCTGGTTTAGCAACGCATTCTCCATGGACTCCAGGGAAGCCACAGTCATCTCCAGAGCAGTGGGTTCTGCTGCTGTTTCCAACATCGCAGTCTCTTTGTTCAATTCCGTTTCATTTGTGATTGGCTGTTCAAGAGAAGGCACCTCTAGTTGGTTTGCGATCTCCTCGGTATAATCTTTGTCTACTGGAATGGTAGGTTCTTCTGAAGCCGCCTTCTCAGTCCTCTCCTGAGCTTCTCTTTCCTCCGCCTCTCTGCGCATTTTCTCCCTGACATCCGCCAATGTCAAGTGCGGATCCTCTAGATCCGTTTGGGAATATTGGGTGTTTAGCTGCACATAACTCGATTTGTCGCCACTCAAATCCAGAGGACCCTCCATGTTGTCAGATTGGGATGACCCCTGGGTGGCTCGCTTGTTGGCCGCAAAGAGTTCCCTGACATTGACACGCATAGCTCCCTTTGGCACTTGGTCGTAGGCACGCAGCATTTTCTTGGGCGATATCTGTCCATGATCACAGCACGGTGAGGTTTTCCCAGATTGAGAACCGGGAAACAAGGCTGGACTCGATTTCCCCGAGTTATTGGGACTGCAGAGGCTTTTGGTCCGAACTCTGGGAGTGGGATTGCTCTTGCGCACTTCCCAGGCCAGACTTTGGGGTCGCTGCTGCAGTGGCCGAGATTCATAGTCCCAGGATACTTTGAACCACTCGCTCAGCGCCTTAAAGTCTCGCACATAGTTCTCTAGCACCAGAATGGCCTCTTGGCAGCTGGAAATGTTTTCATAGCACTCCACAGTTTGGTAGATCTCGTTGACGGCTCTCTGGAGATTTCCGAAAAGCAAGGCCCAGTATCTGGCTTGTAGCTCCGACTTTTTATCTCTTCCGGTGGAGGCACTGCGCACGCGTGGCCCACTGTTTCCACCTCCGCTTGCTCCAACACCTCCGGAGGATTTCATTCCTGGTGAAGTGGGCGATTGGCAGTTTTTGGGCGTACCACAGGGCGACTTTGGCGGCACCATCGGCGGCTTGCGATAGCCTGTAGTAAAGAATACATTTAAGTTTGAAATGCAAAGGCAAACTAGAGTTGAAAAAGTTGAATTTCCAATACCTGGTATTCAGATTCGCCTAGCCATTCATTTTTTAAAGCAATTTTTTACATTATTATATTATTGTTTCGCTACCTTTAATAGAATTTCTAATGTGTAGCAATATTTTGTTTGTCAAATTTGTATAGACATAGTACCAAGTATCGGAAAGCAACAATTTGTTAGTCTTACAGTCGCCGTTCAAGAGAACGCCTCCGCCTCCAGCTGCTCCTCCATCGCCACTTGCTCCTCTTTCGCCCACGAGTCCAGTAGCACCACTCGTGGTTGTCTCATCGCAGAACTGGTAGACGAGCAGATTCTTCGCTTCTCTGCCCTCGCGACTCAAGACCTCTCGCATTTCCATTGTTGGAAGGTAGACCGAAAAGCTGCTGCCGTTTGTTGTTGTTGTCGTCTGGGTTTTGGCTGCTGCTGCGCTGCCTCTGCCGGCACCTCTGCCCGCGTCTCTGCCCACGCAGCTGCTGCAGCTGTTCACGCAACTTTATATTTCGTCCTTTGTGGCAGTCTCAATCCTGATCAGCTCCCTCACTCTTGCAATCTGCCACCGGAAACGCTCGCCACCGCTCCGATTTTAATTGATTATTTCGCCTTTTTCGACGTCTCTTATTTAAAGCGTCGCTTCTTTGTTGTTTTTGTCGCTGAATTTCGCAACGCCAGCGGACTGGGTAGCATTTTTGCCCGACGGCACTTGGTTGTATCCACTTCGACTAGGTCGATCGCCGCCACCGGGTGCACTTTCCTGTGTCCCAAAACGTCGCTACTTGTCGTGGTCCGGTTAAATGAGAAAATTCCTTCGAATATGCGTCTAATAATTCTGAATTCTGCCAATTTCAGAAGAGCAGAGCCAGCTGATTCGGACGCAGAGTTGCTTCTGAGTAACCAGTGCAATCGATCAATCGATAGGCGTCATAAAAACCGATGGAAAAGTGTTTTGGGCGCGTAATCAATCGATATTTAACGTAAACTCAAAGAGGTATACAACATTTATAAATTTGTCTTTTTTGAATTTTAAGCTGTCTGTATCAACGTTTATTGGTGAGCCATTAAATTTTTAGACCCTTCAGTAATTTTTTTTTTTAAATTTTAAAAATTACAAGAAAAAGCTAAATAAAATTCCAAAAACAAACCAAAGTTAAAACATAAAATTGAAGAGGTTCTATGCTCGAAAATCAGTCAATGGTGTAAAGTATGCCCCAAAAACTGTAGCTCTAAGCCGTTTTCTTTGATTTAACATTTATTTAATTCTTTTTTTACTTAGCTTCACCAAGTGGCAACAAATTTAAATTTAAATGTGGCGCTTCCCACCTGCAAGCTCCAACCGAAAGCTCCCCAATGCGAAAACGAGATAACGATAGGTCCGGTAGAGCGGGACAGCTAGCGGGCGAGAATAATCGCCGGCGAGTTGAAAAACCAGTCTACTGAAATCTGCGCGCCTGTTACAATTCCGGTCTAAATCTAAATGATGCTGCTCACTGCTCTAGTTGTTCGAATTGGAAGCGCCAGCGGAGCCAAAAAGCGCGGAAAAAGACAAAAGTAAAAGAACCCGGAGTCGGTACTAGCTCCAGTCTCCCCAAATTTCCCACGAAACACTCAACTTTTGAGTAGTGAGCTGTTATTTTCGAAGTATATTTTGCCACCAGATACTAAAAACAAGTTATTTCCAGCCAAAAAGTGTCTTCTTCATGGTCCTCTACTTCCATTTAACCAACACTAATTTTCGAATTAATGCAACGGACGGGAAAACGAAATCGAAAAAAAGACAATATCGTCACTTGAGCCACACAATTTCGATTCATGGACTCTAATGAACAGGCGCCCAGGCAAATCAACCAGTTGCCCGTGAGATTTATAGTCACTCGACCTCCGATTTCGTTCCGTTTCGACTGAGTGTGAATTTCTCAGCCCCATGTGCGGTTGTTGGTTTTGTTGGTTTGTCTGATTGTTTGCCTGTTTGTTTACCTCTCGCCATGGAGTCGCTTTTGAGAGGGTGTATGTGTATGTGCGTACGTAGGTGTGTGCGGCGACAGCTGAGTGGTGGTTTTGGGGGAAATCATATTTTGAATTGAGTGGTGGATAGAGTTATACTCGGGACATCCGCAGCTCATGCTGGGGTTTCCTTTACTCCAACTGCACGGTTACTCATTTTACTCGGCAAAGGCGAATATTTAATTAATATTTAAGAACGCCGTAATTATTATATATATTTTACGAAATTTATCATGTTGGATTAGAACATGTTCAAAAATTGAGACGGATGTTTTCTTTCCTTGAATGGTTGTTTCCATTACTTTGTTCCGTATAGACAAAAAAAAACCTAAAACTATCAAAAAATAATAAATGCCTTACATACCTTAGATAAGCAACTTAATACAAATATTTTACATCATTTTTATTATTTTTTAGTTCTTGGCTTGATTTTTGTCAACACGAGACTTAATAATGGAAACTAATTTTAAGACGAGGTTAATATAATTTTAACAAGTCGCTTATTATTATTATTATTCATTTTTGTTGTTAATTTAATAAATTAAATTACAATTTTTGTTTTTTCAATAAACAAAATGAAAAGCTTACCAATTTGAATATTATATGTACGGGCACATGGATCTTATTTCTTTGTCATTTTGGCTCTCATATTTCAGAGCAACCCGACATCCAACATAAGTCATTGGTATGCCTGGAAGCTTGAAAAAATCCTTGAACATATTGACGAACCAGGAGTGCAGTAGCCGGAGCTGCATGTCTGTCGAAGTGTGGCACACATAACTGGAATAACTGCTGCCAAGTCAATGCCACATTATCGGGAACTGAAGTAGTTTTTTGGGGGTGGTGGCGGGAACTGGAGTGGAGTGCAGTGGATGAGGCGAAGTGGAAACACGACATTCATGGAGCCAACCATTAGAGGAAGCCTTGTTCAAGGTTGTGGGTTAGGAGGGCGGGAAGGGGTTGGAGGCAAGGGCAGGGGCAGGCTTAGTCGAGAAATCGGACAGAGGATGTGGCTCCAGTTGTCTGGCAATTGCTTAGACATTCCTGGAGCTCCCCAAGGCCGCTTTTGCTGCGGCACAGTGGCCAGAAAACCAACAAAAATTTTATTTGAAAATGTATTATGTTTTTTAACTAGATCCCCAGTAGGTCTTTCTTTCATTCGGTTGCCAAATTTCTAAGCATTTTTTTAAGTTTTAGACGCACGTTACTTCCGTTTGCTGTTGACCTTCTTAAATTCCCTACCATGGCAGTTGTACCAGTTACAATTCACACAATAAGACCCAATCCTCTACAAAGTCTGGAATTTCTATATGTGCCATTGCATTATAGTCTGCATGTGACTGCCACTCTGATCTCTTCCATTGGGAACTTCTTGTACCGCCTTTGGTCGCCGCCCTTGAGGAGATGTTGGTAATGTAAGTATACCCTTAGATATTATATTGTTTATTACGATCACATATCATCTTAATAAGTCTGGTATACTTGATACTTAATTCTCCACCATATCCACAGTGCCTCAGATGCTGAAGAAGCCTTAGTAAGGAGAGGTTAAAGAAGCCAGACTTGGACACCAAAGGAATTCGAAGCCGGGGAGGGACACGACATCAAGTGAGGCAGATGAAGAAGATGTTAGCCCGAGCGGATGCAAAAGTAAAGTTCGAGGAGGGACAAGGGACCGTGACCAGGACCAGTCTGGACTTAGGGCACTAACTTGAATCGGGAACGGGAGGAGGTGGAGTAGGATGAGGGCGATGGAATGGGAATACGAGAAGAGGCAGCATCAACAGCCACAGCAGCATAAACAAAACGACCAGCAGAACTGGAGGAACGGAAGAACCAGGCACTGAACCAAATTTAGCAAGTGTTTTATTTTACATTTTAAATTTAAATAAAAAAAATGATTGGTGAAATTTATTGGCTTTTATTAGTTTTAAATATATTGACATATTTTAACTCTTTTTCCGCTCTTAAGACGTGGGTCGGGGCACCTTTTTTAAATATACTCCTAGTCCGGACGGATTACAAAATATAAATAAAAGGAAGATTTGTCTTTTCGTTTGAAACCATTGTCCTTCGGAATTCAGGATCGACAGCGTTAATGATATAAATTAACATGAGTAAATAAATCATTTAATCAACCACTGTGTAAAATTTGTACAAATTTCGTCAAGCCATCTTACGAAACATTTTGTACTCTTTCCAAAACCGCACCGTTTTCAGGAACTAAAGGATTATATTTTTCAGTGCGTCGGACCCTGGGAGCAGACTCAATGCAACAATGAAGAAAAAAACGGAAAAAAAAGGCAGTGTGTGTGTGAGCGATTCTCCGGCTGTCTCTTGTTGAAATTCTCCCCATCCTCTTCCTCTTCTTCATGGGAAAATTCAGGCCGTGGGAATACATGTGAAATTTCGATGGTGTCCGGGAACAGGCGAGCAGCAGCGATGGAAAGATACATGAGAAGCAGTTAGAGCAGTAAGGCACCCCCTTTGCCAGCCACTTCCACTTCCCATTCCCATGCCGATTCCCATGTACTGTGTATACATATTATATTCCCCATGTCATTCCAAGCGAAAAAGAATTCTAAGCCAGAGCGAGAGGGCCAGAGTGTGTTGGGTTGCATGTCTTTGGAGAAGGGCCCCATAACGAGTGGGCGAGTGCAAGGGAGACGACTGATACTGGGAGCCCTTTAATGTTGCTCCCCTGAACCTGGATGTTTGTGCAACATTTTGTGGCCTCTGCCCTAGAGCACAGATTTTAACGGAACAACTTCGAGCAGGCGCACAGTATTTAAAACGCAGCGATCTCATACTGCAGCATGTTGCATGTTACCACCATGTTTCTCCCTCTTAAAACCGATTATCTGCGCCGGCGAAACTCCGATTTTTCAGCTAACAAAGGGAAAGGGCCAAGGTTATTTCCCGAGGCCATCATTAGTGTAGAAGGTTTCGTTTCGATTAGAAATTGCAGCAGGCACTCAGCAAAATGCAGCAGGCAAATGGAACAGTCCGATTTTCAGTCGGTTTCACTCTTTCCTTCCACCATTCCCTATTACCACTACCATTACCTTATGCCCATTCCCCATTCCTTGGGCACATTGTTCCTCAGGTTAATACTCTTCAATTTTACCTTCCCTAAAATATTGAACATTTTTCTGTACTCACTTTTTAAAATTAGATTTAAATTTCTAGAGGTTTGAAGTCTCTTATTTAAATTCGTTCTGTTCATCACAGCATTATTTGAAGAAATTAAATTGTTTCTTAACTCCAGATAATTTTAAGGGTACCGATATCAAAACTAACTTATTTAAACTTTTCTTTTGTTGATTGAAATGTTAAATATTAAAAAAATATATAAAATAAATCATATAAACGTTTTAACAGCAGGTATAAGACCATTCGTGAGAGAAGTGTATGGGCAAGAATTATGTTGCCCTTTTTGCTGAGCCAGAAGAACGGCGGCAACAAGAACTTCTTTATTTTTAGCCACTAGCCATGGCGGCCTGAGAGGGGGAGTTGGGGAGAAAAAGAATGAAAATGGCAGAAACCAAAAAAAAGTGGACGGTCAAAAAGGCGGACCAAAACGAGTATTTGCTACCTCGAAAAGGATTGCAGAAACCACGATTAGGATTTTTATATATGCATATAAATAAGAGCTACTTTATTTTTAAAAAAAACATTTTCTTATTAAACGTATTTAATTTAAAATTACAACTCCTTGTATTTAAGTATTGGTATATCAACGTTAATGTTACTTTATTTTTAGCACTTGGGGTTTAATCAAGGCATTAATCTTTAAACTACATTTAAAAGCTTTCCTCAACAAAAAAGGTAAATAAAAAATTAAAAGAGTAAGTCGGGGAATATTTTAAAATCAAATTTTCATCAAATTTTGATAGTTCGTTAATTAACATGCGGTTTGTAAATTTTTAAATTAAAATTGCGCGCCGATTGTGCAAGCTGTTTAACAATCGATAACATATATAACTATCGCTCTTTACGCAGACAGGTGAATGGCTCTCTTTCTTCTTCCTTTTGTTTGCCCCCCAGCTGGTTCTTATTTCCTCGCTCGTTTATTTTATTTTGGGTTTTTGTTTAGTTCCCAATTTGTTAATGAAACTATGGATCAGTTGTACCTGGAGATCGAAATCAGCACGCAGAAGGAGACCACAATCTACACCAGTGTATCATCGTTTTTGGCCTTGTATACGTATCAATTCCTGGACGATCCGAAAAATGTGCGGGTCAACTTCGTTTCCACTAAGGTTTGATAAGTGCTTTACAAACTAGCTGAAAGAATGTTTATTAACCCCATAACCATTGTCCACCAAGATTGAGGGCGGTAAGATAGCTTTAAGGAGCTCGCAGCTGCGGAAGGAGCTCACGGATCAGCACATCACGTGCCGGGAGGCCGCATCCCTGCCCGCCATCCGAGATTTGAAACTTCCCATCTACGAGAAGGATGGAAATACGTATATTGCAGGAACCTGTGCTGTTTGCAGGTTGGTCAACGTTATTAAACCCTAGTCAGATTATTTAAAGACTAGGTTTGATCTATTAATTACCATTGGGCTCAGAAATAAAGGTTATGTACAGAAGAACACTGAAGTGTTTAAGATTTAGATCTACCTATTATCTGAAATTGGTCAACACAAAACTGTATCTTGTTTAATTATCCTCAATTAAACTGTTGTTAGTATTGTATTTTCCTGTTAATTTAATATTTCTTGTTACTTATTTATTAAAAGAATTTTTGTTTATAAATTGATATTTTTATTTAAATATCTTCTTAGTTTAAGCCTTAACCTTAGTTCTCGTTATCTTTTTTTTTTTTAATTCCCAATAGTAGATATAATTTGGTAACACAATTCTTTAATTTCAGAGAGCTGATTTCCAGGCAATCGAATGAGGAGCTAAAGAAATTGTTGGGCTTCAAGGGCAGTTGCCTTTTGGCTCCATCAGAAGCTTCGATTTGGACCAGGTTCTGTGAGGTTGATGTGGTGGATGTTGTGAGTAATATTCACAATGGTCAAATTTTGGACTCCGTGCCCCCGGAAGTGGTGAGATTCGAGCAACATATGAACGAGCCGGTGAGGATGCACAACATCTATAAGCAGGCCAGGGAACAGGCCAATCAGACAGAGAATGGCGGCACAGTAAAGAGGAGGGAGCGAGTGCAGATCAAGTGCACCACGCCCAAGGAAGAGCTGCTTATAGAGCACCGATTCGCCGAGGGCATTAGCTTCACCATTGCCGATCTCATCTTATATCCCCTGTTAAGAATCGTCTTCCAGCATTGCGGGCAGATGCTGCCCCATTTCCCTCTCACCAGTACCTGGTTTAGCGAGGTGAGTAAAAAGACCTCCCTTTAATTTGCCTTTAAATACCTAAAAAGTTACCAATTTCAGATTGATGCCTTTGATGGCAAGTGCGCCAGAATCCTGAGGGAGCTATATGTGCCACAGGTAGTAAGGACACCTCCCGGCGACCTGGGAATCCCCGACTGCGAGGCCACCAGTCTCTACAAGGCCGATCCCAAGCGATACAAGCCACGCAACCGCGTTTACACCAGTCAGTTGGAGGTGGAAGCAGCCCTGGGAAAACTTTCCCCGCTGCAGCTGCAATTCAACTCGGATTCGGAGCGCACCTACGGCCAGCAGCTCATCGACTGGGAGCAGATCGAGCCCACGCATGCCAAGAGTTCAGCGCTGCCCAAGGAGCGACTCGCACGCAAGCGACAACAGCTGGAGAACATGGCAAATGCTGTGGTTTCTTTAGCTCAGCCTGGGGATCGCATCGTGGACTTCTGCAGCGGCACAGGACACTTGGCCATTCTGCTGGCCCTCAAACTGCCAAAGTGCACCATTATTGTGATGGAAAACAAAGCCTTTTCCCTGCTCCAAGCCCAAAAGAGGACCGTCGAATTGGGCTTAAGCAACTGCGTCTTCTACCAATGCAATATAGATTACTTTGTGGGAGGATTCGAGATCGGGGCCTCGCTGCACGCCTGTGGAACTGCCACGGATATTGTTCTGCAGCAGTGTCGCCGGGCCAAGGCGCACTTTGTGTGCTGTCCCTGTTGCTACGGATCCCTGCAACCCATGCCGCACATCTCGTACCCACTGAGCGAAGCGTTTCAAGGGGTTTTGGGCACAAAGGACTACCTGTACATCGCCCATTCGGCGGATCAGGCGCACGAGATGGGCACCACCAACTGCAAGCCGGAGACGACGCTCCAGGGACTCCACTGCATGGCCGTGGTGGACACCGATCGCCAGCTGCAGGCGGAGGAGGCGGGCTACCAAGTGATCCTCACGCGCCTGAAGCCCGAGCAGTGCACGCCAAAGAATCACCTGCTAGTCGGACGTTTTGTTAAACAGAACTGAACTCACAAACTGCCACTGATACAAAATAAATGCATTTTTATATACTTTTCAAAGCCTGAGTCATCATTACGATGCGTCAATAATGCGTCTGCCTGAATATTTAAATTAAATCAGATTTTTTTGTTAATTAAAGAGTGAAATTCCTGTTTTCATTTTTGGATACTATTTCAAAATACTTTTTAAAACTTTTAGTTTTTTGTTTTTATTGTATTTAGTATATGGCTGAATCTATGAAACATAAATTAAAATGTGCAATTTATTGATTCTTTTATGAAATTGTTTTTAAAACTTTACAAAAATGATCATAAAAAGGTCTAGGAAACAATTTAAGTTTGGTTTCATTTGAATCCTATTCTGATTTTCACTTTAGCCTAGTTTTCCCTTAAGCGAATACAGATTTGATAGTTTTATATGTTATACTTTAATCCGATGCTTCTCAAGCTAAATATATTTGAATGCATTTTATATGAGTGTGTTCTCCAATTTAAAACAGTCTGTTTAAACAAGTTCCGGCATTAGTTATAGACAGTTTATCAGGATGGAATCACCGCCTCGCAGAGCCAGGACCAAATGGAGGACAGACCCACCTTGCACCTTGTAGTCGGCTGCGGTTTTATCATCATTCCTGGATGGGATTACATGCGGAATTAGTTTAAATCAAAGGCGTAGTTCCTAAAACACTTACATTTGCTTGCCGGAGAAAATGAGACGCTGTTGTTGCGGCGGAATGCCCTCCTTTTCTTCCACGCGCTCCTTAATGCGATCCACCTTGTCCGTGGGCTCTATGTCGATTTCGATTTCCTTGCCGGTCAGAGTCTTTCAGAAATATAACACATATTAACATTAATATTATTTTGGAACCCATTCAATATAAACTTTTATATCCCTCGCTTTTGTTGTTGTTTGAAGTGACGCTTGGCCCGGGGGTTACAACTCATTAGTATCCCACATTGTGGCTAGTATAACTTTCCACTCACCTTTACTTTGATCAACATTTTGTGTGTGTTAAAAGTAACCTGTTCTGTGAAATTACTAAATTATCTACAACTTTTTGCTAATTTTCACAGCTGGCTGTTTTTTTGGCTGTCACTCGTTCGGCGTTGAATCGATTACAGGCGAACTGGAGCTGTCAAAACATCGATGACACTATCGATAGTTTGGAATTTTGTGATTTAGAGTCACTATCGATAATTTGCTTCGTTGTGACTGGCAAAATGTAGTGCAGTCGATGGTTCGATTTATTTATGGCGCCAATTTTTTAAAAATTATAATATTAAAAGTTTTGGGTGGTCTCTCAATTCATTAAATGATTTAAAACAGTTTTCATGTTCCAAAAATAAAAAAATATTTATAGTACCGATTACTCTTATTTCTTTTTTGAATCGAAACCAGTTAGAAAATGTTGAATTTTTTTTGTGAATTGATTAAATAAAAATTAAGACCACTAATAGCTTCTATCTTACTTGTATTTATTTAAATTAAATCTAAATCTTAATACCTATTAACAAAGACTAATTCGAAATGCATTTTGTTCTGTTCGAAGTAACTGAGATCCCCAGTGTTGTGGTTCTAGGAGAGCTTCTTCTGCTTGTTCCAGTTCCGAATGGCCTCCCCAATGTTGCGGATATCCCTCGCATAGGTTCGACAGCACCCGCCGATGACCTTGGCCCCCAGTTGCGCCCACTCGGGGACGTAGTTGGCGAGGGGCACACAGTGCTCCTTTCCCTGCCAGCCGTTGACCACGTCGTAAACTTCTCCACTGTTCGGGTACACCACCAGGGGAATCTGCTCAGCCACCTGGCGATCTCCGTTCAAACTCTTGAACAGAGGAGTCACAAATTTGGGATGCACACAATTTACCCCGATGGCCAGACATTTATCCTGGGCATTTCGCTCCGCCAAAAAGTCCCAGATCGCATTTGCCGCATCCGCAAAAGTCTCGCCGTGGGCCAAAGTGCTCTCATCCTTGCACTGGAAGGCCACCCAGAACTTCACGTCCGGATAGTCATCGCACAGCATCTCCACCAGAGCCTCAGCCTCCATCTGGCAGGGAATCGTCTCGATGGCCAGTGCATCCACGCCGGCCTCCAAACAGGCTTCGATCCGCACGCGATGCCAGTCCGTAATCTCCTTAACGGGCACATAGTCGGCATAGCTGCCGGTGTACTCCGATCCATCGTGCAGGTGGGCGCCAAAAGGTCCAATCGACGCGATGATCAATGGGTAGCCTGAAAATAAAGTTTGTTTTTTAATTATCAAAATATAAAATAATGCAATTAATTAAAGCAGTTTTGTAAATTAGCATTTTAATAATCTGTGTACACTAAAAGGCATATAATATTTCTTGAAATAATAATAATTTAATAATTTCTTGAAATAATAAAAAAATAAAAACAAAAGCAAATAATTAAAACAATTAAATGCTGATTGAATTAAACAAATCAAAGTTTAATTAAAAAGACCATCAAATCTTAAACATCCTTCCTCATACCCCCAATAAAAATCAATCTAAAATCCTGTGCTAGTACAACATCATCAGATTTTAGATATATTAGTTCCACCGGGATATCTGGACTTACCTTCCGGAATGGCCAGCTGGGCCTGATAGCACTCCGTGAGATAGCGCTCCTTGGCAATGTGCGCCAAACGGACCGTGTTCCTAATCAACTCGATGCTCTGCTCCTCGTCCAATTCCAGATACTCCATATAGCCCTCGACACTGGACTGATAGGTGTTCGTGAGGATTATATCGGCTCCATCTATTATTTTCAGGGGGGAAGTTAAGTTAGTCTCCTGCTAATTGCTCCTAGCAACCAGGTGCTCACTCTGCAGAAAATCCAGGTGGGTGCTGATAATGGCCGCCGGATTGGTGGCATTAAACCGGGCACTCCACAGCGGATCCCCGTCCACAGAGTTGCCCACATGCACGGTCATCTGGGTGCCGAAACCGCCATCCTTCACCAGCACGCGCGTCAATCCCATGGTTACAATTCACAAGGTTACTGAAAGGGGAGGGGACTAAGCTAAATTATTTATTAGTTACATTTTCCTACGTCAGCGCAATAGGAGATAATTAATATGTACACATTTGTTATATGAGCCCCGACATCTGGCCGACTGCTTATCGAATAAGGTTTGATTCAGCAACAATGTTGCATCTGTGCTTTGGCACAGTTGTTTACTAACTTAACTAACTTATCACCCATTTTTCTAGTTCATCGAACTTGGCACAACGGAAGTCAAGTGCACTGACAACTTAAGAAGTACTTTCTAGAAAATACGGCTAACTACGATAAGGGTAGTTCGAAATGCACTACATAGTTTGTGGCGGGCCAATTAAGCTTATTCGAATACTAACTTTTAATCAGTTGCGTGTTCAAATATTTTTGCTTAATATTATTAATGATAAAAAAAAAGTAAAGTATGATTCGTAAGTTTTATAAATTTTTTTAAGTACAAAAAAATTACTTTTTAAAAAACAAATAACCACAAATTAGATTTGATTTTCATTTTTGATTTTTTTTTAAATATTAATATCAATCAAAATAAGATTATAACACAATTTATATATCCCAAAATTTTAGATTTTATTTATTAAGCCTTTCATATTGTTTTAAACGTTTTAAGTATTAAGTATAATTTATGCTTGAAATAAATAGAGCAAGAATGTATTTTGATAAAAGTTTATTTTTTAAGACTTTTAGATAAATTAGATACTTCTTTTGCGAGTCTAAGCACCCTTTGTCAGGGAATCAATTTGACAGCTAGACAGCCACAAACACAACACTCACCTTGGAAGCTTATTTATAGGGCTTGTAAATCGCTAGAGTCAATAACAACTTTCATAGACGCTAGACTGGCGGTTATCAAGCTATTGCTTTGGTTTTTTTGTAGAGAACCCTCAGACTGTTGGATATGATCTATCGCACTGGGTGCTCGTCGAACGTTTAAGTGTTTTACAACGCGTCGAGGGGCTTTTATACCTTCTGGCACCAGCCAGCAGCCACCAGCCACTCAGCTGTGAGGGTTGGCTTATCAGGGCGAAATTAATAAATAAAATTTATAACAAAACAAAATAAAACGGCAAACACAAACATGAGAGTGCCCCCACCAAGTGTTACTTTCTGGGTGATAACACGGGTGCACAGCTGCCAGACGCTGGCCAGCCAGATTGAGATTGTCCGGATTGGATGGTTGGATTGTCCGGGTTGACAGAGCCTCCTCCACCTCCACCTCCACATCCACAGTACAAGGCTGATGAAATCTTCAGATCGTCAGAGTGCGTGGTCCAGGTCTCCGAGCGATGCCACTCGGAATATGCTGCTCCTCTGGATGGATCTCGGCTAAATCGACGTCGATAACCTCTGGGAGCCGACTTGGATCACCATGTACTTGGTTTATTGACTCTGCCTCCATCAGAGGGTAACAGCGGGTGCTTCCAATAGCACAAGATTATGGCTCAAAAATAAATTGATTAATTGAATAAATTAAATAATTCAAGGCCTTTCTTTAGGTAAACAAACATGAACACATTTCAAATAACAAAACAATTTTTGACGTTTTGAATTAGACTATGGACCAAAAATTAATTAAGGTAAACAACCAGAAACGCATTTAAAATAACAAAAAAAACTCAATTTTTTCTATGATTTAAAATATACTGATAACTAGAATAACATATTTTTACTTTAAAATATATTAAAAGTTGCTGAGATCTCTTAATTAACTTTCTTTACTTATAATTAAGGGGTATAATGTGGCTGTAATGTATAATGTAGCTAAACAAAACCACTAACTTATTTCCCTAACAAAAATTTTAAGCTTTGCTTTAAGAAAATTAAAATGAATAAAACATATTTTTTAAGAGCCTGTTTTAAGCGTTATATATGTTTTAGTATTAGAAACATTTGCCATCACCAGATTACCACGTGTTAAATCAAGGATAAATCAGTGATATTATTTATGCATTTTATTTCTTAAATGTTTATTTCCATACATAAATTCTTGCAAATATAAAATCTCCTTTTGATTTTAGAGCTTAGGTACGATAAGTTCACTTAAATCTAGTTTAACAAGATGTATGTGATTAAGTTGAAATATTAAGTACAAAATAAACATTCGTTTCACGAGGGAAAATGCACTTTGATATGTATAAGTTGAATCAGAGATTGCTCCGATTTGGATTCGGACTTAAATTGAGCTAGGTTTGCGAAAACGGTCGCTTGGTGACGGTGACCGCCAGCTCCGATTCCCATCGCATCCCATCCCCTGTCCCCCACCCACTTGTTTACCTTTGGTCCGCCCGCTTAATCTGTTTTCGTCTCCCAGCCGTCGACGCTTTATTCCACTCTGATTAGGCTGCCCATCTGATCTAAGTACATTTAGCACACCATTGTATGTATTTAGCACACTAAATAGGTCTAGGTCTAGTCACACTAAACGGCTTTCGCATCATCGACAAGGCAGCTATCAGTGCTCGGAGTGGTCGACTGATTACGGCGTTATGTTGAGGCTATCGATGTACTTGCGGATCGCCAGTACATCCGTTGGATAGACCCGGCAACAGCCGCCTACGATGCGAACGCCCAGCTGGATCCATTCGGGCACAAACCTGACCACTTCCTCGCCAGTTCCCGTCCACTCCTCTTGATCCGCATCGTAGATTTCTCCCCGATTGCTGTAGACCACCAGCGGAATGCGATCCGATCCTGCGGCTTTGGTGAAGGATTTTAGCAAAGGCGTCACAAATAGTGGGTTCACACAGTTGATCCCGATTCCAAAGAGCCTGTCCTCCGCCTTCCGGTTCTGGACCAAACGCCACACGGTGAGAGCCGCCTTCGCAAAGGATTCACCACTCGCCAGATGCTCTTCATCCTGAAAATATAAACTATACATTTTTACTAGGGTCTAATTTCAAGTGGAATATTAAATACTCGTAATAAACTAATTCCTTTAACCATTCTAAGTATTTCTTAAATTAAAATATTTTACAAAAATATATAAAAATGTAAATTTAAATACAAATAATTATTTTTATATCCCATTTTAGTATAATATAACTTTTCTAACTAGAAATTTTGTTAACTTAATCCTTATGTAGCAACAAAATAAAAACCTCAGTTTATTTGCTTGCTAAACTAGAGGTCATGTTTGTTTATAGTAATTCTATAACACAAAGTTTTAGAAAAGCTTTCATCACACGTGCAAAAATTTAAAAAATAATTTAAAAGCTCAAAATTTTGTTAAATATAATAATTTAATTTCTATAATTTTTTTGTTATTTTCGTCTAATCACTACTACTCACCTTGCACTGAAAGGAGACCCAAAACTTGGTGTCCGGACAGTTGTCCAGTACGAATTCGGTGACTGCCTCCGCTTCCAACTGGCAGGGCAGGGTTTCCAGGGCCAGTCCATCGACTCCGGCTGCCAAGCAAATCTCGATTCTGGTCCTGTGCCACGTCTGAAGCTGCTCCTTGGTTATCTTGTCCGCATAATTGCCGGAATATTCGGATCCGTCGTGCAGGCAGGCGCCAAAAGGTCCAATCGAGCCCAAAATCAGGGGCAGAGGCGAGTCTGATCCCAAACCGGTTTCCTTTAGGTACTGTTCTTTGGCCTCCTTGGCCAGCTGGACACTCCTTTGGATCAGTTCCACACCCCGCTCTTGGCTCACACCCAGGTGCTTGACGAAGCCCTCCACGCTGGACTGATATGTGTTGGTTAGAATGATGTCCGCTCCAATGCGCAGAAAATCCAGATGTGTTTGGATCACAGCCTTCGGATTGGTGGCATCAAATCGGGAGCCCCACAAGGGGTCTCCATCGACCTTTTCGGTAACATTCCTGGCCAATTGCGATGAGAATCCGCCGCACTTGACCAGAATTCCCTTGCTGCTCCAATAGTGGTTCTCCTCCATGGCTTCTCTGGCCTACGTGATTCGCTCAACTGCAGAATTTTCCAACTGACGATACGACTGTATTTTGTATCTGACAGATACGTGATATTCTGAGTTTTGTCGACTAGGAATTTTATTATTTTTGTCGGATTTTTTCGCTTGGGTTGGCAACTTTTTCCGCTTATCTTGTGTGAGTTTTCACAATGCAATATCTCACTAACACTTCCACAAAGCTCAGCTGTTCTTTGTTTACGAAAGCTTACTAGCTACAGTGAACAGTCGATGGAGAAAACATTTTAAGAAATTAAGTCTATTTTATTCTTAAGAATGTGTAATATTGATGAAAATTATATATGCATATATAACTAGGCCTAAACAAATTCCCAATTGCGTTTTAAGTTTAAATATTTTAATATTTAGAGACAGGAAATATTCAAAATTAATATAATAAAATGTTTTTACAAATTTGGTAATTAAAAAAAATGTAGAAAATGTTTTACAAAATATAAAAACAATTAATTTAAATTGAGTTCATACTGTATGTGTGCACGATTTCAATGGCATCATTGTCATAAGAGTACAAAAATAGCAAGAAGCAGTTGAAGAGGAGGAAAGTATAAGTACCTTAATATATATATTTATATATTTTTTTACAGCAACAGATGTCTTCGCGTTATCTTTTTACGAAAAGAAGCAACCCTACAGCTGACACACTGCCTACCAACAGTCATGGCTATAAAATTAAACATTGATGATTAAAAAACATTTTTTTTACAAAATAAAAAAAAAAATAGATGCCCAAACATTCTGAGTAATCATTCCAGCTTTTTACCCAAAGAAACCAATTAAAACACTGGATTAATATATAAATACAATAGGCATATTTTATATAGTCAAGATAATACATATGCAAAACAAATGGTGTACTAACATAGACGCGTATGTCAATCGATACGTATAGAATAATTAATCCTTAAATACCTTGGTGTTAGTGAATGCAATTGGTTTAAGTAATAAATTGTTTTTTGGGGTTATTATTGGGTGTATAATCACATAGTTTTGTATAAATAAATAATTCGGGGAATATTTCAAGCTGAAAAATGCCACAAACATAAATGTAACTTTGGTAAACTTACGCATTGTATAAATTCTAAAACATGATTCGCCTCTAAATCTAGTTTACATTTTTGCACTAAATAACAGTTATAGGTATTGTTCTTGTTTTGTGTGTGTATAATTGTAGTGTAGTTGGTGTAATATTAACCACTTTTAAACATTGCTACACGCGAATAAATACTAGGCTCAAAAAATACAGTTTGTATTGATATTGGAACGGAGAAAAGCATAAACGAAATGCCAAAATAATTTGAAACACTCAGTCTCAGGTCTCCATGATAGTTGGTTGATTCCCTACACTTCCCATTTACGAGAACAGATTGTTGCGCCTCTTGAGGGAGCCGAATTTCTTCTCCGCCTCGAGCAACATCTTTTCGTTCCGAACCACCTCGAAGGGGATGGTTCTGGACAGACGATCCATTTCCTGGTCCGAGGGGAAGTCCTCGAAGCTCATGTTGCTGAAGCCCGTCTTGGCCGAGTTTTGTATGGTGTTCGATTGGAAATTGCGACTGCCACCTGCTCCCCGATTCTCATCCTGACCGTGTTGTTCGCCATCATCGTCGTCGTCATCGTCGTGGGACTGGTACTGCAATCGCTGGTGCTTCTGCTTGCTGCCCGAGCTCAGCGAACTGGTGGATCCTAGGGCGGCAGCGCTGACTTTCTTGTACGAGTGCCCCTTCACCTTCTGGGTGAGCTTGCCGGGCAGCACCCTTACAGCCAGATGGGACTTCTCCTTCTTGGCCTTCCCAGCGGTTGGTACACCGATTCCGTCGGCCACCACATCGGCACCACGCAGCACCACGGGCTCCTCCTCGTCGTCCGGCGTGAAATCGGAGCAGCGATCTTGGGAGATTTGCACATAAGCATTATCGGCAATGGGCAGCAATGGACGAAGATGGGTGGCGGCGACTGGAATTGGAGCAGGAACTGTTACGGAAACGGGTTGGGCAGGAGCTGGAGCTGGAACAGGTGCCGGAACCGGAATTACAGCTGCTGCTGGTGAGGATTGTGGCTGGTTAATGGAGCAGGAACTGGTGCTAATGCTGGAGTAAGACGGCACATTCACATAGACACTGCTGGTGCCACTCGACTTGGCCATCTGGCTACTGTTATTATTATTATTATTATTGTTGTTATAGTTCATCGGTGGCTCCGGCGTTTTGTTGATAATAATCGAGTGATTGATGGTCACCAGTTGTGGGGCAGACACATTAACGGAAACGGACACGGGAACGGAGGCAGGAAGAGACACAGACACGGAGGCGGGCACTTTGATCACATTGTTGTTATTGTTGTGGCTGGGAAAGTGGTGGATCTGGTGGTGGTGCTGTGGATTCTGTTCGATGGTTCGAATTACCTGCGGAAATGGCTCCAAGCCGAACAGATCGCATTGATTGTTTTCCACCAGCTCCGGCTTCTGTGAGTTCTCCTGGAAGGGATTGAAAATGGGTTCGTTGAACTCATCTAGCTGCGGTGAGTTTCCCGTTTGATTTGTGGGCGTTAGCTGTGCTGGAAAGTTGGCGAAATTGGTTGCGGGATCTCCGGCCCCGGCAGCTTTAACGGGTGTAGAAGTCCACATTTCGGGTTCCGCGACTTTGGGCTTAGCCTTGGGTTTACTCTTCCTCTTGAGAGGCACTCCCACGGGCAACTTAAACGGGGCCAGGGCAAACACATCTTCCTCGGATTCGAGTAACTCTGCATTTGCAGGCAGTGGTGCCGCCAGTGGAGATTCAGTGCTGCTCTTACTTTCACCCGAACCATAATCCAGTTCATCGTCCAACAGCAATGGACGATCGCCGAACTTGTGCAGCAGATCGCTGGAAGTGGGACTTTGTTCCTCGGATGGGACACTTGGATCTCCATTGCCAGCCACAAGACTCCTGTCCTTCTTCCTCATCCGCACTTTGACCACCACCCTGCTCCGCACATCGTCCTCGTGGGTGGTCACGCTCTCACACTCGGCATGATAGGCCGAACTGCTGCAGGTCTTCACCGACTCGCTAATGCCATCCATTTCCGTGGGCAGAGGACGACGCAGCTTGGCCTGCGTCTGGCGTGGATTCTCGTCGAAGAGGTCGTCATCTTCGGCCCGCAGATCACTGGCCGATCCAATGGAGTCACCGTCCGACTCCGCCGCCTTGGCGGCTTCTTCAGCCTGGGCCGCCACTGCGGCGGCCATGAGATTCAGCTGTTGGGCCGCCTGGTGGGCAGCTGTTGTGGGTTTCTTGGTCTTGTCACGAAGTTTCTTCACAATCGGCAGATGGGCTGTCTTGTCCACCTTGTGATAGGCCACCTGTTGGATCTTGTGGATGGTCTCCGGCAGATTGCTGGTCACCAGCTGCATCTGCTTGAAGATGCCGCCGCCTCCTTCGTCGCTGTCTTGCTGAAAGAACTCGGAGCCTTCGGAATCGGAGTCATCGGAAGTGGGCTGATCCTTGCTGCGCAGCTTCTCGTACTTGTTGCGATCGTCTAGGGGCAGCTTGACATAGCCAGTTACACCTTCACCAGATCCTCCGACACCTCCGGGAAGGCCACCTTCCGAATCGGTCTTGAGTTTGCTGATCAGCGAGGTCTTCTCCTCGCTGGAAACTTCCAAAGTGGGGGACAGCAGCCACTTCGAGGAGTTGGACGAGGTGGCGGTGTTAGCTCCGCCTGTCACCAGGCTGATGGGCGTGGACACGCCGCCTCCCGATCCGCCGGAGGAAACGCCGATGAATTTCGCTGTGGACGAGAGCGAAGGACTTTTATGCAGTAAGGTAATGAGATTACGGGTTTACGGGTTAGCGGCTGTTTGTTCTACAACTAATTATGGATGAAGTGTGTGAGAGCATGTGGATGATCCCCTGGAATTGAATGAGTTACTGAGTGATTTGTATGTATGCTTTATGCTCAACGTGACGTATACGTAATATTTTGGTTAGTTCAATGGCGAAGGCGACGATAGAAGCTGGAAGACGTTGTAATGTTGACCCAAACGTTAATTCGGGGAATTATGTGTTGATTTTAAGGCATGCACAGTTTAATTATAACTTGTTTAACTCCTTTTATATTTAACTTTATTTTCTAATTCAAAATTAAACTTAGAATTTGGCTTTAATTTAAGCCACATATTAAAAATTATACAAAGTTTAGAAAATGAATGAATTTTAAATGGTATTTAAAATATATTTAGTTGGACCTGTGCATGCCTAGAAAATCCAATTAGTTATTAATTATATTACCCACACATTTAGTTAGTTTGATTTACATTTTGTGAATGTTCAGTTCAGTTTTGAAACATAATATAGAGTTTATTGCAGTTTTGCTTCAGTTTTGGTTTAAATCTCATACAATTCTTGTGGCTGAACTTAAGCTAACGCCCTGTCTTAACTGGTTTGTATAAATATATAGTGCTTTATGTATATATAGATATAATCTGTATTTGTTGTCATCTGATAATTTGCTTGTATGTGTCTTGGTTACCTGACTTTTGTTGCTTTCATTGCGCTTTATCTGTTGCTCATCTTGGGTACTCTAGTTACTAAATGTTAGCTCTTTGGTTTAACGCTTCAAGGTGTCCACTCCCAGCGATTTAACGTATGTACAGCATTAACAAGAGCAGTAGTTATAGCTAATTGAACATTTCGATTGGTGTGACTGTGACTGTGTGTGAGAGAGAACAATTCTTGGACAGTTTGGAAAACATTCTTGGACTATCTCGGACTTAAACGTGTATTGTCTTGCGTTGATTAACAATTGATTGGTTTACTTTTGTTTGTTTGTTTGCTGCCACATCCGCAGAGATCGCAGCTTGAGGCGAACTTTATCGAAAGCGAAAATATAAAACAATCAGTGGATAGAAATCGTAATCAAGTTTGCTGTCATGTTGAGCGATAATTGGATCCACAGAACCATAATAATAATCTCATTAGCATTAATCTTTAGAATTGCACGTTTTTAACACATGAATAGTAAGTAATAACTCTGATATGCAAATTATTGCCAAAAATGTATACGCTAGTTAGAATTCAATTGCTTCTTTACACTCTACGCCAACAACATGAATAAATATTTCTAGTATTTTCACTTAGTTAGCTAAATTTACAATTA